ATTTGATTAGTCTCCTAGAAATGCAGAATCTGAAATATTCCACTCTAATTTGACATTATAACATTTCATTTTTTACGTCAGGACAATCCCCCAGAATGCAGTTGGCTTTGTGTCATGGTACGTTTATAGTCCACGGTCACTCTTGGCTACTGTCTGGCAGTCGAGGTGTGAAGAGCAGCTCTTAATCTGAGTGTTATGCCCTTTAAAACTGTAAGGCGATCGTCCTGGCAGAATGAGCAGCATGTTCACCGTCTGTCAGATGGCAGATCTCAGCTGATGGAACATTATCACTTCTCTTAATGAGAAACCCCATAGGTTAAATGTCACGAGAGCGAAAACCTAGAGTTTCCATGTTTGCACAATGGATCAAGTCAAAAATATACGCCAGAACATCAGAGTTAATACAGTTATTGTTACTAATGATATGTTCAGATTGCAGGCAAATCAGATCTTTTCTCAAATCAGATCTTTTCAGGAACTATTAATTGCAAGTGATAAAATAAGATTTGGCCAGACATAACCAATCAATCTGCAAGGGTAATGACGTAGATGTGCATGCTTATGTGATGAGGCTTGCAAAACGGATACAGGGAAAATGGACGTGCATTAATCATCTCGAAATCGCGTTAGGAGTGACAAAAGATATTTTGAGCAGCCAGAGCGTCCAGACTGACACATATGTAAAAATCTTATTGGAATAGCATTTCAAAACACAGAAAAGCATTTGAAAAAATCCGATTTCATGTGTGTTTTTTTTGGGGTTTTTTTTGGATAAAATCTGAATGTGCAAAACCTCCGATTTTTGCTGGCAGTCTGAACACAGCCTAATACATCGCTCAAGATATTAAAGCAACAGTAAGTAAGATTTTTTTACCTTAAAATAATGTTTTCAAAATCCTTTCAGTGGTTCATCAAGGCGTGACATGGTGAAATGCACTTATGCCACCGCTTTGCGGACCTTTATCTGATATATCCACGCTATGTAAGATTGCCAGATCGGGTCGCATTTCGGTAGTCCCAATGAGACATAAGAAAACTACAAATTTTCAATTCATAATAATGAATTTTGTAGAAAACTACAAATAATCAATTCATATCGATTAGCTTTACTATCTCTTTATGAACCTTTTGAAGTGTCAAAGTGGTAGTTGCGTAGTGGTCAATGGAAGGATTTTATTAAAAATATCTTAATTTCTTAATCAGATTCTGAAGATAAACGAAAGTCTCTGAGGTTTGGAACGAAATGAGGCAGAGTAATCAATGACCGAATTTGTATTTTTGGGTGAACTATCACTTTAATAGAATGCTGAGCATGATAAATAATGAAAGTGATGCAAAATAATCCTAGAGAATTACGTGAATCAAAGTCAAACCTCTTCACAGACTTCTCGGGCAGCAGCGACGTTGGGCTCTTCCTCGGGCTCCATTCCTCCTCCAGGTACGATCCATTTGTCTGGGTGTCTGCTGCTGCTCACCAATAACACCTGTGTGGACACATTACAAGACTTTGCAATTTGCAATTTACCGGACAACTAATAATACAGATCATTGTGAAATAATCACCATTGGCAAGAGCTCATTAACAGAAGCCATGCTTCCTCTTGTCTCAGTATAAAATCATTTTAACACATTTTTGAGTAAATATTTCATACAGTAGGAGTAATTTCAGCAATTTGGCGAGGGTCTCATTGGTAAAGATGTGTATAGAATGGTCCTAAATTTGAATGTCTGATATAACAACACATTCATCCCAATGTTTGCCCTTTTAAATCCAGCTTTGATTTGATGTAAGATGAAATCCATGGAATTTGGGATCAAATTCGAATCGACTTCATGTGAGGTCCCTTGTTTTCTGTCAATAAACAGAATAGTATAAATGTTTTTCGTCACAACAGGAAATTCTCATTTTACCAATTTTGACTATGCTTTAAAACAGTGGAATAAAGTGATTCGGTTTATAAACTGCTGTAGTGGCACTCATGTTTTAGATATACAAAAATGACCATGGTAACTTACTATGTTGGATATGTGCCATCCATGGTATGTCTTGGAAGTACTGTAATAAACCCATTGGGAGTGCCATATTCATGGGACATATGAAATATCAGTACCAAACCACTTTTACCATAGGATATACTTTGTTGTTAGTGGAGTTCAAGGAAAAATAATAGTATTTTCATGTTTTTTGGACACGGCTAGTTACCATAGTATGATTACCATGGTAACGTTACCACCTCAATAACGTTACTTTACGACAAGAAAGTCTTTCGATTATTATGACATATCTAAACTGAGATCCAATCAGATCAATGTCAATCAATGAATCAATCAGTCGCGCGCTTCGTTCGTTGGTTAGTGCTAGGCGAGTTGATTAACGCTAGGCCAACTCCGCTTTACTAGTCCAGGCTAACCGCTGATAACACGCCGCTAAACCGTTTGATATTAACCAGCTGACGCGTTGAGAGACGCACGCATCGCGGGCTCTCCCTCCCGGCGGCCCGTTCGCTTCACCGGCACCGGTACTCACCTCCTGCTCGTCCTCGCTCCTGAAGCACAGGCAGGCGGCCCGCTTCTTGTACCCGTCTCCATCATAGGTGCGCGTTTGGTTCGACTTAAGCTTCATCATCTCGGGCTGGGCGTTGTGACTGAGATCGGAACCTGATCCTGCCGCGCGGATAGAGAGGTAAAGTCCGCGAAATGGAAACCCCGCGTGAATCACTGGAAATAGACTCTTCTACGCTTCATTTTTCCAAAGCCGATCGCATCTCGGAGACAGACGCCATTATCGAAACCGCTACGGAATGTGCGTAACCTGCACGGCTCGTACGGAGAACAGCCGCGTTCTTGTGTTTAGAGAATAAGGCCCGCGGATGTGAAAGTGCGCATAGTAATCTGTTCATTGTACACGTTAATATTATTGTTATTAATTACAAATTGTTTTATTATTTGTTAATAATTTATTATGGTTACATTAAAATTATCAATAGGTGATATTAATAATTTGATATAAACATTATTTGATTTAAAAAAATACAATATTTTTTCCAGAATTTACAGTATTTTGTTTATTTTTATTATCCTATTATTATTATTGTTAAATTAAATTAAATCAATGAGTAAATAAGTATTAAATAAAAATATACTGAAACTTTGTCGTACTGTACATAATCTACATAAAACGTGTCACTCTTCGTCCAATCATTACATACAGCTATGTCATCCATCACAATTAAAATCTTAAAAATCATTGTAACCAATATGTATACAACAAAACAACCAAGACAAATGATAAAATATACAGATCTATCAAATGCTACAAATATCTCTAAAAATGCTCAAAAATCTCTATAAAAATAGGCATATCTCCAAAAATATAATCATACCTCTGCACTTTTAGTTTAAATTGAAGTGAATATAAAACATCATAAACAATTATAAAATTTAAGTCCAACTAATTGCTTAAATAATAAAAACCCTATAATATATATATATATATATATATATATATATATATATATATATATATATATATATATATATATTCCAGGCTATTCTAATATTATATGTTTTGTGCGTCTAATAATATTTGAAACATGTTTAATATATAATAATAAATATATTATAACAGTAACAAATATTATTGTAAAATATGTAATTACATAAACAATTTGAAAAAGTATTTTTTTATTAATATCAACACACATTATACATACAAATAAACAATCTATAAATCTAATACACATTTTAGACCTCTAATAGTTTATTAATAAAATGTCACACACAAGTAAGCCAATACAGGCATTGACTGCTACACAGACGGTCATTGCAGAATAAAGGACATTTTCAGATTGACATTGTCTTGGGCTTTTGCGGTCTATTCATGACACCGTATTACCTGAGGTGAATATTTCAGAATTCTGAAGTTAAGAGGACTTGAATGCATAAAATACAAGTGGATTGATTTAGATTGCACTTCTGCTCCATTTATATCTCACTCAAAATACCAAGGGAGTAAGTCGTTTCATTTTTTTAGTGCCCTGAAAAGTAGTAGTTTGAATCCTTGAGAACCATAGCTTATTGTCACTGTTGTGATCTGTCATGTACAACAGCCAGATGATAAAATTAATGAAGAATTTCAAAAGCACTTGGGTGTGGAAAACCTTGAGCTGATCCCTGTAATGCAAACAGTTCTTTAAGGAATAATGCTGTAAAAAAAAAAAAAAAAAGTGGGTTGTGTATATTACATATTGTGGGCAATATGTTCGATTTTAAAGGACATTTTTATTTACTTTTTAGAATCACCACTTGATGGCATCCTGAAACAAAACCACCTGAGAACCACTTGCTTTAGGGAATCATTTAGCTTGATGTGTAATTTCTTTCCTTACATTACGGTTTTATCCAGAAATCCTTTTTTAAGAAACTCAAAGTGCCAAATCAGGGATTAATACAATAAATGTCACCATGCAGTTCCAAACCGAACAATCAGTTTCAAAGTGTGATTTGAACCGCAAGGTCGGTGTCAGAGATGGTTTAAAAACTGACCAATGCTTCTATAGTGACAGATAAATATACATCCAAATATAAACCTATGTTATTATCTTCAATGCTGACTCCTGGGGATTCTAGTGGAAAACATCACATTATAAGCTAAACCGACATGCAGCATGAATGCATTCTATGAGGACTATCAAGCACATGATGTTACACAGTTAAAGGGATACTCCACTTTTTTTTTTGGAAATAGGCTCATTTTACCACTCCCCCAGAGTTAAACAGTTGAGTTTTACCGTTTTTGAACCCATTCAGCCGATTTTCTGATATACAGAAGAATATCAATAACCAGACAGTTTCTGGTCTCATTGACTTCCATAGTAAGAAAAAAATATACTATGGAAGTCAATGAGATCAGAAACTGTCTGGTTATTGATATTCTTCTAAATATCAGAAAATCGTCTGAATGGATTCAAAAACGGTAAAACTCGACTGTTTAACTCTGGGGGAGTGGAAAAATGAGCCTATTTCCAAAAAAAAAAAAAAAGTGGAGTATCCCTTTAAATTATAGCTTGATCTAAATCTAGTCTACAACTTGGACACAAACATTACTAAACAAAGCATACGTAGAAAAGCACCTCAGTCCAATAGATATATAGATATATATTAAAAATAGCTGGAAACACATGACATATTTGTATGCAGTGTGACTCTGGATTCTACAGTATATTTGATCTAATGACGTAAAACTCATTATGTATTAAAGCAGAATATTACATCTGTGGTCGTAGAAAGACGTGAATGACATTCCAGGTTTGAGACCAGACGGCTTGTTTGTTTGGTTGAGTGTGAGGTAGTGCTGTGATTAGACTGTTACTGCTCCTCCTCTTCATCTTCTTCAGCGTCCTCAGATGAGTCCTGGGGTTTTTCCTTTTCCTGTTCGGAACGGAATCAAATATTTGGGGATAAAATGCATGAAAGCGAAACTTCTCCTTTGCTGCATGTTATATTTGACATTTGCAATGAACTCCCATTTTTAATAGGTTTAGCAAGGTAGTTTGACCTTTAAAATCTTGCAGGATGGTGTCACTGCAGTGCAAGTTGAAATTCAAAAATTTAAAGAGGCAGTTCACCCAGATATAAAACGACTGATTTATTCTTATGATTTTCTTTCTTCCATGGATGTTGTGCAGAATCTTGATGTTGCAAAAATGCACGTGTTTACTTGTGTAACTCCTCCGGGTCACGGCACCAGTGTACAGGCCAATTTATACTTCTGCGTCGAGGGTACGCCATAGTTGGCGGCATAGTTGGCTGCTCCGAAACACTAGTTGGCGGCGGAGGGTTTTAATGTTCCACTGTGTTTAAATTCCTCGCGGCTAGGTTACTAAGCTATGGCGACTGAAAGAGAGCGGATCATGTTGGAGTTGGAGCTTATTGAGGTGGAAAAACTGTTAATTTTAGTGAAATTAATAAAACTAAAATGCCGAAACGAGAGAAGACGTTGGAGGAGATGGTATGTGGAGAAATGCGTAGGAGGAAATGCGATGTTACCAAGCCGACCAAGTTGTCGCGACGTGTAGTTACATTTTTGAGGAGGTGTGCATCAGGCTACGGCGAAGGGTACGCGGTATGGTACGCGTCTGTGCGCATACTACCAGAGTTGTAGTACTCGAGACTCGGACTCGGTCTCGAGACCACATTTTAATGGTCTTGGTCTTGTCATGGACTCGTGTCCATTTGGACTCGGAATTGACTCGTACTCGAACATTTTTTTTTTTAAGGACTCGGAATTATTCCCGAGTCCACTCGAGTTCAATTCAAAATATTTTTCATGATTATTAATGTATGTTAATAAAATATTTCTTTAAATTGATTGACACGCCCAGTGATTGGTGATTTTCTAGTGCGCAACTGCGCATGACAAATTGTAATAAAATTACTTTTAACACCACCTACTATGTGGCCTTTTTACCCTAAACTGATCATATTTTTTAAACTCTAAGTAAATTCAGTAAAAAACTGGTCTCGGTCTCGACTCGGACTCGACCGTCTCTGGTCTCGGACTCGACTCGGACTCGACTCTCTATGGACTCGGTCTTGACTCGGACTCGACTCTCTGGTCTCGGTGTCGACTCGGACTCGAGTGAGGTGGTCTCGACTACAACACTGCATACTACGCTGAAGTATAAATTGGCCTTAACCCCTTCACTTCTACTCGCATGAGGCAGGCGTGTTAACAAGGGCGTTAAAGACCGCAGTCGCTAGTGCACCTCTTGAGGCAAGGGGAGTGAGGTTTACTCGCACGGTTCCTACTAGCTGGCCTCTGTTACACCAGCACATGGGCGGGGCAACCTGTCACTCACATGAGAGCCACCAATAGCAAACCACAAACATCCAATCAATTCCTCATGGACCAATTTTTTCTTGTTCCAGAAGCAGTTTCAAAAGATATACGTCACAATAGGGGGGAAAAAGACTATCGAAACTACTGCTTCATGCCGACTTCACTTTAAAATGTCTACATTAGTGTTCCACGGAAGAAAGAAATGAGTAAATGAAGAGAGAATACATGTTTTTTAGTAAACCATTATTTTAAGATGTACCTCTTTCTTAGGCTTTCCCCTCGGTTTGGTGACAGAAGCCGATGATTTCTATTGAGCAGAAAATTAAATTAATAACAATTATTCAAGAGTCCAAAAATATAATTTAGTAATATGCAATCGTCCTTTTCCAGGCTAAATCATTGGAATAAAAACAAGGGTGTTTTTATTTATTTATTCCAATGCATTTTCACTGGCCAATAGCAATGCTTCTCTAGTGCACCAGTAGAGGGAGCTGGTATCTGCACATGACAACAGATGGAGGGGGCATTGAGTTCATTGAGGACTCTTGAGGCGGGAGCTGACAGTGCATTGCTCAGGGCTATAGTAAGTGGCTAACAGCGGGTCACCTGCTTTTGCTCGGACTCGGCGGATGAGCCGTCAATGAAAACCTTGCAAACACTATTCAGAATTAATAATGCATATGTCTCTGCATGTTTGGAAACAGGAGACAGCTGTTGTTTTATCCAGTAAAATAGTGTCTGTTTGCATCTATACAAAAAGCTATGCCATAATTACATAAAGAGAATTAATCATAGTATGATGAGTAGTAGCTAATCATAGTTACGCTCTTGGATGGGCCTTTGTTTTTGCTGCCTTTTGGCCGTCCTCTTGGTCTTTTTGTAGTTGGTGACCCACTTAATTCCTGCAAAAAAAGTTTATTAAGAAGCTGACTGTAATGTTACTAAAACTGAGGATGCATTATTAAAACATGAGGTATTATTAAAAATAAACAGATGCCTATAATGAAGGCATTATTATTTTCCTTTCACTCAGAAAGTAAACTGGTTTAATACTGATCGAAATGAATTGATTATTAATTATGTAGTGTTACTTTATACCTTTGGATGCTTCCTTGGTCTTCCTCGTCCCCTTTTCTCCACTCCATCCTTGTCTTTGACGGAGACAGCTTGTTTCTCTGAATCGCTCATGTTTCTAAGAGGTTTAAAACACAAATGAAATGAATTTAGCAGCTGATCCTATATCCAAGGAGATTCAATTTGAGCACACACCTATTAATATGGCTTAAAGAAAGGTTTATTACATGCATTTATTTGCATTAGCTGATCATAAATAAAACGTCCTCCATTAAAATGACTTACTGTAAGTACGATTTAAGTTTAAAGGGAACACTATTGTGATCAACGCTACGCATTGCACAAATCTAAAAAAAAAATATATGCACCACCACTCTCATAAAGTTTAATGATTGCATTCATGTCTAAAACCCTTAGATCACTTCGTGTTGATGCACAGGCGAGGTGCTCAATAGGTTATGCAACGACAAATTTATATGGAAGCCATATAGCGCGCGCTGCACTTGGAGACCGACGTGCAAACGAGCATTACAGCCCTCGTGCAACCATTTAAGACAGAACGAAACATTGACTTACATGCACTTACAGGAAAATAATGGTGTAATGCGCGCGCTGTTCTGTTGGGTGGCCCCACCTCCCGCAAGATGCCGATCTGATGATTGAATTAGAGCGCAACCGACCGTCTCCCAATAAACCACAGTCTAATCTCAAGGCAAATAGACGCCTATAACGGGTGGAAAACTGAGGAATTAACTCTGTCGGTTCTGATCGTATCGAGGGATACACGCACGGAATTGATGCGATTAAAGCGAGTTCAGGAATAGCAGCCTGTCACTGGAATAAAAGGCCAATGGAAAAGCAGGATGAGCCGCAGGTTGATGGGAAGAGAGGCGGATCTCAAGGGCCATATGCTGCTGGGACAAAGTACTGGCGCCAAGTACAAATGAACTTCAAAAAGACAAAAAAAATCTTCACGCATATTATAATATCATATAAAATAACTTTATAAATGCACAAACAATATATAGGCATTAAATCATAAAATGGATGGATGGATGGATGGATGGATGGATGGATGGATGGATGGATGGATGGATAGATAGATAGATAGATAGATAGATAGATAGATAGATAGATAGATAGATAGATAGATAGATAGATAGATAGATAGATAGATAGATAGATAGATAATAAATAATATAAAATAAATAATAGATGGAATTAGGCTACTTTTAACACGCATACATTTTAAAATTAAATTATAAAACATAAATTCAAACTAAACTAAATTAAACAAAATAAAATCGACACGCTATGATAATAAAATAAACTAGATGACAGATAGATCAACTAATTTGTTAAACATATCGAACATATTCATAGATATCCGCTTTTTAAAATCTTTAAAAAAAATAGTTGTATAAAAAAAACTGTATCAAAAATAGTTACAGTTACAAAATAAATATGGGAGAGTCCCTTACAGAAAGGCTGCGTCCGAAATCGCGTACTATGTGAGTAGTACAATTTTTTTTTTTTTTTTTTTTTTTTTTTTTTTTTTTTTTATTGCATGAACACAATTACAGAACATGAACAGAAGACAAATTAAAAAAAAAAAAAAAACATAAAAAAAAGGTACATAAATAAAAATAAAAATGCCAGGGTCAAAGATATATACAATACAAAAATTGAATGAAAACAATACTAAATTTACCAAACAAACAATAAAAGGCTTTGACATTTCACAAAATCTGAAAAGTATTTAACAAATACATGGTTTTAACAGCTTTTTTATTTGTACTGTCCTTAATGGAAACCATATAATTCTCTAATTCTTTCAATAGCACAGAAAAAAAAGGCTTCTGATTTGTAAATTTACACCGATGAATATGAAATTTACCTAAAATAATTAAGAGATTAATAATATATGCTTCCTTTTCCATGTTCTTTTCATATTGTAAAAAACCAAATATTACATGTTCATATAACAAAAGAAAATTACATCCCAATTTGTTATTTATAAATCTAGAATGAGTAGTACAAAATGTTAGTTCCTTTCAGAAACTAGTCGCGTAAATGTGACGTTACCAATCTACGTCATTGCACTTGGAGACAGCAGACTAGAAGAACCAAAACAATGAGATTTACATTATCTGTATGTATGCATTGCACATTGTCATTTGTTTGAATGTTTTCTGTTATGAAAACAGAACGAAATGCGTGATAGTCACGTTTCTTGTGTGTTGAATCGCTGTGAATGGCTTATGTCTTGTTTACAGCGCAAACGACTCTTTAACATTCGGCCTTATTAGGGTGAGTCAATAACATTTTTGAGAAAACAAACGTTAATTTCTATTGCATATATGTTTAATATTGGTTAGTTGTGTGTGTAAAAGGTTGTTTAATGTGTCGCTCTTCAGGGATGAGCAGCTAGCATGCTAACTAACTAACTGGGATTACAGCTTTAAACCGGGAGATCGGTGTGTTAGCCAATGCTTGTATAACATAACAACTTTAGAGGAGTTAATTATTAATTTGGCAAGCTCTTTTTAACGCTAGTCTTCATTACATTTTGTGAAATGTACAGAATGTTGTATTTTTTTTATGTGAAATATCTGCATAATGCACACTATTTCAAAAAAATGAATATACACTAACTTAGATAAACAATAACATTGATGAAAAGCAAAATATAAAATGCTAAATATTAGCATATAAATATATGCTAAAAATAGATAAATATTTATTGAGAAATCCACTATTTTGTGGAGCGGGTCAAAATTATAATTTCTGCCTGAGATTTAGAGCCAAATCACAGGTGGGCAAATATGACTTCAGAAAGATGTTTTTATGCATAGATAGCTAGGTCTATTAGTAATGCTGTTGTTTTTAGCAATCTTTATTGCATTATATGACTTACATTTTAGGTGGAAATTCAAATTTTTTTATCCCCCTCTACAAAATAGTGGATTTAATACAGTATTTTGGCTTTCATCACTATTATTTGCGTTAGCCTTTCTTCAGAAAGAAATATGCTGCCAGGGGACCTCTGGTGGAGTTGACATGGAATGACCCAATGAAATATTATTTATTTGTTTATTTATGTATTTTTGCCAGAACAAATAGAGGGATCAGGTGGGATGTTGCAATTGCTGTAAAAGTTACCAACCCCTGCCAGTTTTTAGTCCCATTCGGTGCATTTGGTTCATTTTTGACCTTGCCTGCAGGTATTACAGACTCACCACAGTTAAGAGAGCTAGTTCAGCCACAGTCGTGCTGTGAATCCACACATGACCAGATACATTGCCATATGAGTTTCCCTTTGAGGCATAAGTCTGTAACATGCTCTCTGTTTTTCAGGACTGAACTGACATGATCTGCTGATCGGTCCCCCTCCTCTAGAATAATGCATCATCAGTAAAGATGGGAGGCAGCGGGTCCAAAACTAAAGGAGTCTGGCCTTTTAGCAGCTCAGGAGCTGGTGGAGATCCTCCTGGTGAGGTCACTGAACAGTGTTTAGCGCGTCTGAGAGGCTTCAAGAATGCCACACCATTTGTTTTCACAAGGAAAAGGTAAACATTGTGTTAAAATGTGAGGAAAACCTGTGATCAATGACAATAACCAGTGTGTAATATAGCTGTTTGTGAATGTAAAAGGTCTTCAAAGTGCAGATAAATGGAGTCTCCTGGAAGAAACGAGCCTGCACCTACTTATGTGTGCAACAAATTTGCATAATGCCAGCCTATGGATGTCATAAACCACAAAGCAAACAAATACACTTTGATTCACTTCCAAGGATGAGGAATTGATACAGAAAACCCGATGCCATCATTCTTATTATATTTATTTATATATATTTATATATCTGAAATTCAGATGGGAATGGGCATTTGTTTGCAACATGTGCTGTAAGCTGTCAACCAATCACAACAGACTAGTCTAGGCTATCTGACCAATCAGAGCAGAGTAGGCTTCCTTTATCAAACAGTTTGAAACACTTAGAAAAGAAGTGATGTTGCAATGGATATTATGAGAAAATGAAAGTGTTTTTGAGTTTGTATGCATGTACATGTAAACCTGTTGTAGGAGGCTCCAAAACAACATTTACCTTTAAAATAGCATAATAGTGGCACTTACATTTTTCTGTAGTTTTGCCAAAAGTGTGTTCAATTGTCATAATGCAAAATCCTAAGTAAATATTTAATTTGATTAAATAGAATCATTCAAAGTAAATTGCAAATTGTTTTTTAAACATATTTTGTGTGTGTGAGAGAGAGAGAAATGAAAATGAAAAACACTTGGATGTGCTTTTGTGCAAAAAAAAAAAAAAAAAAAAAAAATTGTGCGTGAAATGTGACTTTGGAGGTGTTTTTGTGATATTCACGCAGCTGCTCTTTATCATTGCAGTTCCTTGTATTTTGATGAAGATGGTGATCTGGCTCATGAGTTTTATGAGGAGACTGTGGTGACCAAAAATGGCAGAAAGAAAGCCAAGCTCAAAAGAATTCAGAAAAACCTCATACCTCAGGTGAGCTATACTGATCCGGTCAGATACATGGACATGTTTAGTGCAAAAATGACAGGATCAACTCAAGAAATCAAGTGCAATTTATACAGAATAATTATAAATGATGGTGATTAAACTTTAGAATTAATATTAGAGATCCTATGTTGGAAGGGACTAATTTATATGACTTTAATGTACATCACAGCCTGGAAAACTCACGATTTGGTACTTGGTTTTGCTAATCGATGGCATAAGATATTTAAAATTTATTATAAAAAAAAAATAAAACATTAGCACTCCCTGTTCTTGCTTATACTAGACAAGGTTTAAAACGTTGTATTTTTAGCTTATGCTATCGTCTCCTTTAGATGAATCGCTTTTGATTTGGACAAATGTGTCTGCTAAATGAATAAATGTAATATATATTTGGTCTGTTTCTCCAGAATAGAAAGACTGCACATTTTGTTTTTATGTGTAACTGCTAAAAAATACAAAAAAGAGACATTGACTACAAGGCATTTCTTTATTTTTTTGTTTGTTTTTAAATTATTTAATTTTATTAAATTAATCAATCAAATCTTGTGCACATTTTTCAAGTTTTGTGCCGTTTGTTCAAGATCTGCTATCTAAACATCTAAGCTACCCTTAATTTATTACGAAACATTTCGCAAACAGACAGCTGAAGTTTACTTTTGTATTTCATTTAATTTTGGATAATGATTTTATTTCAAGTAAAGAAAAGGTTTTATTTAATAGCTTTAGTTGTAGTTAACGATAATAAACCTGGTTGAGACCCCCAAATTAGTTTGTTTTTAAATTATTTAATTTTATTAAGTTTTGTGCACATTTTTTCTGCCGTTTGTTCAAGATCTGCTATCTAAACATCTAAGCTACCCTTAATTTATTTATTTATTCTTGGTCTCTTATCTAAATATTTTGTTTACCTAACATCATTTAGTTTTATAGCTCTTCATTTTGTATTAAAAGCATTTTTTTAACCATATTTTTGCATTTCATGCCTCCAGGGAATCGTTAACTTGGATCACCCCCGAATCCATGTGGACTTCCCTGTCATACTGTGTGAAATATAAGCAAACAGACTCTTCAGGAAGTGACACGGCTCTCGGAGCGCCACAATCACCCTCGACTTCCTTCCACCTCTGCCGTTCCTCTGTCAGGACGCCCCGTGGCTCTCTGTTACGACAGGGAGGGCGTTTGCCCTTCATCTGGCTTTGACCAAAAAGTTGAATCATATTTTCTAATTTGCATTCTGGTGTAAAGACAGCAGACGTGCGTCGTCCTGTCTTCTGTGATGTACAGTTGGGAATGCATGTGCGATGAGAGTGTGTAAGTAAGGAACCTAAAGCTATGCAGGGATTGTACATAAATCATGTGTTTGTTAATGTCGACCAATTGCAGTGCGTGTTTATCGTTTATTATTGTATATTATAATATTCTGTTGTATCAAAGTCTGTCTCTGTTTGTTGGGCTGCAACCCATCACGTCTGCACTTGTAGTCATTTAATGTACAGTAAATTATGAGTTAATATACTTGAATAAAATGGTTTAGCAGATTACATGGCAGTAATTATTCATGTAACTCAATGCAAATGCCAGGACAGTTTTTTGCAATCTTCAAGTGAAACAAAATATTCAGTGAAGACGTCATGCTGAAAGGAAAGTCCTTTATAAATTGGAGACTGAGAATGGATATTAAATGTTGACTTTAGCATTAAGATTAAAAGAAATGTCTATATTATAATTATTAAGAGTATATCCGATCTGCTGATAGTGAATATTTAATTGTTGCTAATTTCTACATGATCTTTGCCACCATTCTAACAGTCACTTAGTTCATCTTTGTTAATAAAATTGTTTATATTTTAATAATATAATTTAACTTATAATATAATATAATTATACACCTTTTTCATACTGTAGGCTTACATTATAATGTTGTGACCAGTGTTGTTTTAGCATAATTGATATACTATGATTTTTCTTAATATTTTGAATTGGAATAGATTTGATTTTATATTTTAAGTTGTATGTTTTTATTATGTTTTATTTGTATTTTTTTATAAATATGTATAGTTTTTATTATGTTTTAGTTAAATTAGTCTGTAAATTAAGAACTTAAACTAAATGAAATTGAAACACTCTTGGTACACTCTCAGAAAAAAAAAGGTGCAAAAGCTGTCACTTGGGCTGTACCTTTTCAAAAGGTACACTTTTGTACCCAGAGGCTGCATATTGGTACCTTATTGGTACATATTAGCAACTAAAATTGACATATTAACACCTAAAATGTACTTATTAGCACCTAATATGTACATATTAACACCTAAAATGTACATATTAACACTTAAAATGTACATTGTAGGACCTAAAATGGACATATTAGCTCCTGAAATGTGCATATCAGCACCTAAAATGTACATATCAGCACCTAAAATGTACATATTAGCACCTAAAATGTACATATTAACACCTAAAATGTACATATTAACACCTAAAATGTACATATTAACACATAAAACGTACTTATTAGCACCTAAAATGTACATATTAACACTTAAAATGTACATATTAGCACCTGAAATAAACATGTTAGCACCTAAAATGGACAAAATGGACACCTAAAATTTACCTTTTGAAAAGGTGTACAGCCCCAGTGACAGCTTTTGTACCTTTTTTTCTGAGAGTGCAACTAGCTGAAGTTTACTTTTATATTTCACTTAATTTTGGATAATGATTTTATTTCAAGCAAAGAAAAAGTTGTATTTAATGGCTTTAGTTATAGTTAACAAAAATAAACCTGGTTGAGACTCCCAAATTATTATTATTTTTTTAGGATTTTGTTTTTTAATTCCTGTATTAAAGATTTTTAAATATTATAATTATTATTCATTACATTAATTTCATTCAGAGCTAGTATTCATTTATTTCATAATATAGAATTTTAATATCTTCCATTTATTGGTTATCGGCCATAAGAAGAAAACAATGTTGTAATAATGAATTACTGGAACGTCGCTTTTGGTGCAACACGATGTTTTCGTCACACAACAGAAAGAGATTAAAAAATATATTTTTCTAATAAATTATAACATCTTTTCCTATCTATTTTGGACACTTTTTCCTTGGTTTGTGCACTGTAACCGGCGTTCTTCTCCCATATTTCGTTTATTTTGGCTGTGATCAGTGTGTGCCTGGCACCGGGAATGTGGGTGGGGTAAATGTGAAAGGTCAGAGGTTAAGCTGTGTCTAATGTTTCCTCGCTGCTTTGAAGTTCACCGCTGAGAGGCTTCCACTCCCGTTCATCAGCTCGTGCTCCATCGACATACGATAGATACCCTATCAGAGCCGGCCAGGCCCCGCACAGGCATGTTCATTGCAAACAGATGCAAGTCCCGATGTAAATGACTTCACTGGGAATGTTCGTCCCACCCATGTGAATGAAATCCAGGAAGCTGCGACAGGATGCCATGTCTGCGCACAATCCCTGACACCGATAAGAGAGAACAAACTGCTGGAGGGTGTAAGAGTGAATGCGTGATGAGACATGTGAAGGTTACAGCGGCCCACTGGGCTTGTGTGTGTGTGTGTGTGTGTGTGTGAAGGTACTGTTAAACAGCCAGATCACATGCTATGCTATCACCCTCATAATGCTTGAAATATGTATAGAGCTATTCCCCAGTGTCCGCTTGTTATGTGAAGATCTTATAAGCCTTTATCATTGGCCTCTGAAAAAGCTGCTGGTTGACCTTTGACCTGAAGGTTTGCTCTTATAGGAGTAGAGATGGAGAGATAATACAGGGGAACTGCTGCCGGACGCTCAAGGATGTGAGTTTGCCATTTTTGGGTGTGTGTGTCCAGTTCCTCTCGTATTGTTAAAGCTTCCTGGCACTGCCTAGTTGGAAGAAACTGTGATGTAAAACCCCGAGAACAGGGAGAAAAGGAACGGGCGGAGGAAGGAAGTGTCCCTCTCTCTTTCATGATCATGCACTGATAGACACACACACACACACACATGAGTCAGCAGAAGATCAGCGGAACAGGATCTCGGTTGGAGAAACCACTTGAATGAAGCCTAATGACGCTCTGATGTCATCCGTCATGTGAATCCTCAAACATCTGCAAAGTGAATCTATACTGTTACTATTTTAAAGACCAAACCAGGCAAAATATAGGTGATAATTGATTAATTTTGGATAATAAATCTTAAAATAAATAAAACCTAATATTATGCGATGGATGAGAAATTTAAATAATTTTATATTATTACATAACAGCATGCTTTCTCAAATTATAGATCCAGATTCATACCATGGTGTTCATCTAAGGTTCTTCAAAAGCATATTTTAGTGTCAGGGGTGTCAGTATCGTGTTCAAAAACATGGTAATTTTATGGCTTTTTGCAAGTCAGTCTTTACAAATGTGTGTGTCTGTGTGTGTGTGTAATGTGATCAGTGAGCATATACTGTTTCTTTTAATTTTCTTATTTTCTTTTTTATTAATTAATTCTTATACATATATATATATATATATATATATATATAAATATATATATATGGTGTAAACACACATACACACACAGACATGTTATTAGTGAGCATGTTCTGCTTCTTTTTTATTTACATTTTCATTTCTTTTAATGTATTTATTTATTTATTTAATAATTTATATATATCATATATATATGAAGAGTTCAGATGCAAAAGCCTCTAAGTGCCATTTGAAATTTTCTTCTAAAATGATCATTTTATTAAGCTTGTATATTTAAGTTCAGTAATTTCACTTAAATGGCAATGAAGATGACCTATTAATTGTCATTTAAGTGAAATTACTGAACTTAAATATACAAGCTTGATAAAAATGGTCATTTTAGACGAAAATTTAAAATGGCATTTAGAGGCTTTTGCATCTGAACTCTTCATATATATATATATATATATATATATATATATATATATATATATATATATATATTACACACACACATTGCTGTGATCAAGGAGCATGTTAATTTTAATTTAATTTTGTTTATTTAATTTAATAATAAAACATGATTTATTGATTTATTATTTATTCAATAAAAAAAACGTTATTTTGGACCTGAATTGCACACGTTATGCTCTACAAAATTGATTTGCATAAAGAAACACGCCCCAGTGAGCTTGTCATAAGCCACGCCCATGCAACGAATCAATGAAACTTCTGAAAGTGGCGCTTTGAAGTTGTTGCGCTGCCGCAAAGATAAACGCTTCTCTGATGAAGAATATGTCAAGATTCTCATGAGACTTCACGCGACATTACATCTGAAGCCTTTATGAACAGCGGAACATTCGCGAAAGTCTCTCTGAGGCAACAGAAATGATTTACATCGCAAACACTGGATGAGTTGTATCTGGGAATGACTGTTATTTTTAATATCAAAGGTGAGTTATATTTCCATGAAAAAGTTGATTTGGTTTCATGTTTGTTGCTCTATGATTGATGTGAACAGGCTGGTATTGGGATTTGATTGTATAAAACACTTTTTACTCTCACAAAATTGCATGTATACCATGGTAATACTACGATATTCTTCGATACATGAATTATCTTAGTTTTACATTTTATATGCTTTTTTGTGTTTATGTTTTATTTAAACATCAAATTAATACAATACCTTAGAAGAAAACAATTGAAATTATAGAGTTTATTATCGACATAGATTATGCCTAAAGATGTACAGTGTAAGATTAATGTGGAGAACAGAAAAAAAAATAGCTTTGGAAATATTTGATGAGAAATAGAGTTAGTGAGATCTCTGATTTTGGATTGCAGATTAAAAGTAAAGATTGTATCTTGACCAACCTAAACACTGTCTGAGACTTACTTTCATTTAATCTCATTACCAGGATAAACAAATTAGATATTAAGATATTTTTTATGGGTCAGTAAAATCAATATACGTATATCAACATGTGAATTGTGTGATTGTGTTACAATAAAGTAACATTTCCTGCATAACTTTGATTAGTTCAAATAAATGTGTTTATGTATTTGCTTAATTATTACAATTATATGTTTACAAAAAAATAACATGGATATCTAATATGAAAATTGTATATTTAATTTGAACAGTGGGAATAGCAGTAACAGTTGCATTTTTATTATTACACAATTGTATAATAATAACCACCTTTATTTTAAATGAGAACTCATTTGAAAGTCATACAATCATTGATTTATAACAAAAAGTGATGTTTTCTTGTTTCCCCGCTTTGAATGAACAATGATATCAGAAAATATTTTGTAATTTCTGATCATAATGAACTGTAATGAGGAATGTGACTTCATTTCAGGCCCTTATTGTGAATGACTGAAGTCATCATGGCTTACTGGATCCAACTAAATTGGAGAATCTGGTTGTTGGTTCCACTGGCTCTGGGTCATCTTGCTCTTGCCGGAGAGCCGAAGCCCACCAGATGGCCTCTTTACCCTCAGAAGCCGCTGGTTCTGGTCTGGAACGCCCCAACTGAAGACTGCAGGCCTCGACACAAAGTCCATTTCCAGCTGGACCAGTTTCAGATCGTGGCGTCTCCCAATCAGGGCTTCACCAAGCAGAACCTCACCATCTTCTACAAAGAGCGCCTGGGCTTGTATCCACACTTTGAGCACGGCATCCCCGTCAATGGTGGACTGCCTCAGAGTGCCAGCCTCACGGACCACCGGGAGCAGATGCCAGAGGGGATTGAGAAGTACATCCGTGACCCGTTCGCGCGAGGCCTGGCCGTCATCGACTGGGAGGAATGGCGTCCGCTGTGGAATCGCAATTGGGAGGCCAAAGCCATATACAAGACCGAGTCGCAGCGCTTGGTGGCCCTGAAAAACCCGAACTGGACTCCTTCCCAGGTAAAAAAAGTGGCCCAGCAGGAGTTCGAGATGTCCAGCCGCAAATTCATGCTAGAGACGTTGCGTCTGGCCAAAAGCTTGCGTCCCAACCAGCTGTGGGGCTTCTACCTCTTTCCTGACTGTTACAACCACGACTATCGCAACAGCCTGGAGAACTACACGGGCCGCTGCCCGGATGTGGAGGTGGTCCGGAACGACAAGCTGGAATGGCTGTGGACTGAAAGCACAGCCCTGTTTCCTTCAGTATACATGGGCTCTGTGTTGCGTTCAACATCCTTTGGTCGCCAGTTTGTCCGAAACCGGGTGAAAGAGGGAATGAGATTGGCATCGGTGGGGGAGGGACTGGCACGTCCTGTTTTTGTCTACAGCCGCCCTACGTATGCCAACGAGCTGGAGTTGCTGACAGAGGTGAGTTTGTTGAAAGCAGAAATCATTTCAGCTTATTGCCTGATTGACCTTTTGCCGACTGAGGCAAGTGTTACAGAATATCCCATAGGTATACCAGTCTAAAGGGATTAATTTTTGGCATGTTTTAGCTTACCTCAAGGGTATCCAAGATGTAGGTGTCTTTGTTTTCGCAGTAGTTTCAGTTTTTATATCTTTAGGTCAAACCGTTCTTGTCTGTCAGTCATATAATGGAGGTCTATGGTCACCACCTCAAAGAGCATGCACAGAGAAGTCCAAATTAAACATGATTTAATGACTCGTAAATGTAAGTACACATTGATGGCCTAAGACACGAAACGAGCGGTTTGAGTGAGAAAACGAACAGTATTTATATCGTTTTTACCTCTTTAGCCACGTCCAAATGATCTGAGGGCGCTTTAAATGTCTGTTGAGAGAATAATGTTAAAAATCTCTTGCATCTCAATGATCGCAATACATTCACAGGAACTAGTTTCCAAAATCCAGAACCACCCCTGTAACCGTACTTTCTGCTCTTTATCTCTGTGTGTGTGTGCGTGTGTTTATGTGCAGTGCACAGGAAGGGAGCTGGTCATGTTTTCAGTGCCACCACCCATCATACCATTCCAGCTAATTTCCTAGATTGTTTCAAATATGCTGTTTCAAAACTGCATTCATTCGTTATTTGTGGCCTCAACTCTCAGCAATGTCCAAGATCCAGTGACTGATTCCCTTGTGTGTGTTTGTGCAGACTGATTTGGTGTCCACCATTGGAGAAAGTGTGGCCCTGGGAGCAGCTGGGATCGTATTTTGGGGCGATTCCACTTATGCCAGCAGCAACGTAAGCAATCACACATCACATTGTATATTATTTTAATAATTAATAGTACTCGTTAAGGGGGTTCTAATGATAATAATCAGGGAAGCAGGAGGCAGGAACCGTTCAACGTAACTTTAATCACAAAATAAACATAAACAACAAAATGTAAGTAGGTGACGGGCCCTTATGGACGACTGCCGCATAAACTAAAAAAACAGGTCTGGTCCTCTCTCATCCTTCACTTTCATTCTTTCTCTTTTTATCCTTCCGGAGATCCTCCATGGGACTCGAGACACTCGCTCTGGTCCCACGGCTCTCGGCCGTGCCTTGCTTGCTGCTTATTTTGTTAATGGTGCTTTTGTTGTTCATAATTGCATTATATATCAAATTTGTTATGCAACTGTATATGGCGAATGTGTACACAATCTACTGCATGCCTTCTGTCATCTATACTTTTTAGCAAGTAAAAGGCCTTTGAGTATTTATAAACATCCACCTTCAGCTTGTGGTTCAAGCGTCTTTTTGCTGTGAAATCTTATAAAGTAAACGTGTGTTCAAATATGAGTTTCAAATATGATCCATCATGCTTTCGAGGAATGTTTATGTTCATGTCTCAATCGTTATTGTAATGCTTTGCATTATGTTTTGTTCTCCTTAATAAAACTACAGAGCTTTGATCATAAAACTAAGCATTTAGATATCATTTTACTAAGAAATGTTTTTGTGAGATATGGAGTGAAGACTAAAATTTAAAAAAGTCTGTTTACTGTTAAAAAGATTTCATTGATTTACATTACAAGCTATTATAGGGCTGTCAAACGATTAATCGGATTCAAAATAAAAGTTTGTGTTTACATAATATATTTGGGTGCATTTTGTATAATTATTTTATATAAATACACACACATGCTTGTATACATTTAAGAAATATTTTCATGTATATAGATTTATATATAATTTATATTATATATGAATGTAAATATTTTATATATATAAATAAGTATTTTTTTCTTAAATATACATGCATGTGTATATATATATATATATATATATATATATATATATATATATATATATATACACACAAAATAATTATACACAGTGCACCCACATATATTGTGTAAACACAAACTTTTATTTTGGATGCGATTAATCGCAATTAATCTTTGCACAGCCCTAAGCTATTACAATTTCATCCTACTTTTTGACTGTATAAATAACATCTTCCCAGAATTGCATATGTTTGTTTTTTGAGCTCCAAATTCTCATGTCATACTATATATCAAATAGGATACAAAACATAAAACACATATGCAGACTTTTTTGTTTTTGTTTTAAGATTTCTGACTTATGTCAAGTTTACATGGTTAGGATTGGTGATTTCAACTTTGGCACATAAGTTGCCCTTTGTTGTTTTTGCCACACAGTCATAAATTATTTATTTGTAGACAAACTAATCACTGCATAGCAACACTAAAATGCCTACAACACCTTAGCAACGTCCTGGAAACCACCCACAACACCTTAGAAACACATTAAAGTGTCTGCAACACCCTGCCAACCACATACAGGAGCAACATGGCAATTTTTGTACTTGACATAATTTCTTTCTCTTTTTCAGGCCAGTTGTTCCAGTTTAAACCAGTTCTTGCGGGGTCCACTGGGCCGATACCTCCTCAACGTCTCCACAGCAGCCGAGCAGTGCAGTCGGCTCTTGTGTAGTTTCCACGGCCGGTGTCTGCGTAGACATCAGGACACAGACACGTATCTCCATCTTGACCCACAGACACACACAATAGTTGGCCAGGGCAGTGAACTGCACGTGGAGGGAGAAGTGAACGTGGAAAAGCGGCGGCGGATGAGGGAGGACTTTCAGTGCCAGTGTTATAGTGGGTATCAGGGTGAGGGATGTGACCTCGAAGACCCTCTTCAGCAGCGGGGACACGGGCGTGCACTAAAAGCATTATGGATTTACCTTCTCAGTCCATTGCTGCTTCATTTACTGACCTGAACACACCTCAACTGTTTTCATGCTCATGAAATGTTTGTGTCTCCGAATGCTGTTCTGAAAATGTCCCTCACTTCCATGAAGTCATGTGGGTGAGCTTGAAATTGAAATTTATAAGTATAAACACAGGAAATTCACAAGTTCCTTGGAGTTTAAATAAGCACTTTTGTTTGTTGTCACACATTACTCGCACACCCTTTGCACCAGATGTAGGATATTGTGCAACAGGAAAATCTCATGAAAATATGACCATCTGAAGACGTTTTATTTGAAACTCAGATAGTTTAGTCTTTATTTGAGTCACCGGTCATCAAACAATTTGAATAGGTGGACATCTGGCTTTATTCATCCGAGTGTGGATTTAAGACGTGACTATAAAGATGCTGGTTATCTAACACTACAATGTAGTGTGCAAACATCAAATGTATTTACACAAATTGGCTACTCAAGTATGATTTGAATAGGTGGAACTAGTGGATTTGAGCAAGCTTTAAAGGAGTAGTTCACTTTTAAAAAAAACTGAGAATTTACTCACCCCCATGTCATCCAAGATGTCCACGTCTTTCTTTCTTCAGTCGAAAAGAAATTAAGGTTTTTGGTGAAAATGTTCCAGGATTTTTCTCCATATAATGGACTTCAATGGGGTCCAAACGATTCAAGGTCCAAATGAGCGTTTCAGTGCTGCTTCAAATGGCTTTAAACGACACCAGTCGATGAATAAGGGTCTTATCTAGCGAAACGATCGCTCATTTAAAAAATAAATAAAAAGGTTTAAGTTTTATAAGCTCAAATGCTCGCCTTGCTCTGTTCTGTGATGAGCATTCGTGACTCTCCTGTTTAAACTAATAATTTTTCGAGTCATGACTCGAACGGTCCTAGATCCGTCATCTGGTGTTGTTTAACCCCCTTTGAAGCTGCACTGAAACTCTCTTTTGGACCTTGAACCGTTTGGTTCCCAATGAAGTCCATTATATGGAGAAAAATCCTGGAATGTTTTCATCAAAAACCTTAATTTCTTTTCGACTGAAGAAAGAAAGACGTGGACATCTTGGATGAACTACTCCTTTAAATGGACAGTTCATCCTAAAATGAAAATTCTGTCTATTTATTCAATATTAAAGAGGCCATTTGATGCTTTTTAATGTTTTCCTTTTCCTTTAGTGTGTAATGTATCAGTTCATAATCTCCCACAAAAAGGATTTATTCTAACAGAGAACATTGCTCCAGACCGGCCTAAAATCCCTCGATCTATGTTTCGATATTGCTTCTGCAAACATCTCGCAATTTGAAATATCATACCCGCCCAAAGACAACTACAGCCCATGACCTTTGTCTAATTGTCTGATTGTTTTTTGCTTCAAAATCAAAGTTTGTAGTGTTGTCATGGCTTATAACACTTTAACGTAGACTTAAAAAAAATCTATGGGTAAACTGAATGGAAAAAAATACTTCCTTTAACCTGAAAAAGGGGGTGGATACGTGAAATTATCATTTTTTGAACATTAAAAACCTTTTAAAATAGCATCACATGGCCTCTTTAAATTCTTTTATATTTTATTTTTACTGAATGACTTTAGAAGGCTTGAAATATAGTGCATGAGTTGTGTGAACCACTTATAATAATCATTAATATGAGACTACTAGTGCTGGAAATGTGGACACATATGCTGGCTGACCTGAGTTTAAATCTGGCTCGTATGTCATTTCCTCATCACAACCCTGTTTCCTGTCCTGTCCTAATAAAAACCCTTAAAATAAACAAAGAAGTTACTCAAGAACTGAGTTATTTATATCCTGTTATTTAAAAAAATATTTTGCAACTTTAATTTGACAGTTTCATAAACTCATTTAACTGTTGCCGAATCAGCATTTATGCACACTTTTTGCTTCGTTCAGCATCTCCGTCAGTGTTGTAGAGGTGATTGTTATGGTAATGAGAGTTATGTGACCGCTGTCATAGTCATATATGAAAAAGGCACTGTGGACTGTGTGAGAAGCATTTGCATTACATCTTTGAACTGTGGCATTATTACGAATACGAATTTGATTTTCTGAAATTAACAGTATTAAATTTGATCAAAATGATTTCTGCTTTTGATTAAAGAAATGTGACTGGTAACATTGTGCATTCATTTTAAAGTGTGTTCTTTTCACGGTTATCTCTGCGTCAACAATTCACAGTCAGTGACCATTCAGTGTTTCTCAGTTAGTGGAACTTTTACTGAGTAAAAGAACTAAAAGAGGAAACATGTATGAGACTCCAACCCTTGGATCCCGAGGAGTCGGACCAGCTTAAATTACAGGGTTTACAAACCACAAAGTTATATTTGTTGCATTTAACTCTGTGAACGTTTCCTCAAAATAGATATTACCAGTAAGAAGCCATATACAATATATGGCATGTTTGTTAGTCTTTAATCACTCAAGAAATGACTTCAGTAGTTCAGCTTTGCATGCAGCTGGTGTGTTTTATGTGTTACCCACAAATTGGTGCCTCATTGTTAATTTTAGCCCTTGGCATAAGAAGGGTGTTTTGTTTCTGAGTATTAGGATCACAGATTTTAAAAATGCTTCCTTGTTTTTGAGATTTTAAGTCTTGATCTTGAAATGCTGTGAGTCACATGACCATAATGTCACACCAAAAATAACACAGCAGATCGTGCAGTTAGATATTTACCAATATATAGCTACCAATTTGACACTTCAAAAAGTTCATAAAGAGAAACTAATCCACTTGAATTGAGTAGTTCAGCCAAAAATTTATGAAGAGACATGATCACCTTTTTGCTAAATTAAATCTGCTCGATACTCGAGAACAACCTCCTCATTGGTTCCTGCATGAGCTCAAAGAGCGTCCGTTTACCACAACTGATGTGTTGATGCATGTTTTGTTATATGTAAATAAAAGCCTAAATTTAATTTGTGCTTCATATAAAGCGTCATATATCTCTTCAGATAATTTAGACTAAACCACTCAGTTTTATCTCTTTACGAACTTGTTGAAGCATCAAAGCTATAGTTGCATAGCTGTCAATGGAGGGAGAAATCTCTCAGATATCATCAAAGAGATCTTAATTTTTGTTCCGAAGACGAAGGAGGGTGATTAGTAAGTAATTAATAATAACAGAATTTTCATTTACAGGTGAACTGTCCCTTTAAGGCTGCCGGTGTGAACGCTCCTCCTTAGACCACGCCCTCTTTTCCCATTTGGAGAGTTTAAAGTCACGGGTGAAGCTGTAAACATTTGATATTTCGTGAGTGATTCATAACGTTTTACTGAATAAGTAAGTACGATATATGTCTAGCTGATATGATTGCGTACATTTATTCTCATTGAACGTCAAAATGTACATTCTCTGTGTTTGACGGTTTTCTTGCGTAAAGTCATGGTTCCTCTTTTTAGTTCTCTTCCAGAAAAATGAACAACAAAATATGTCACCGCTATTCTTCTAATTAACATAAACGTCTAAACACTGCTTGTCAGATCTTTCCAATTTAATGGGTGTTTTCAACTTAAAATATGTGTATATATTAGTTACCATGCTAACCAACACCAACATGTAATCGCCTACTACGTTTTTTTTTTTTTTTGGACGTGATGGTTTCAAAAGTACTGATGGCAGTACTCCATGTAAATATTAAAATTCGTAACAAGATGGTGGTAAAATAGTCATTTTTGGTGTTTTTGTCTTATTTATAATGATGGTATATTTATGATGGTAAAAGTATTTATATATTCTTTTTTTTTTTTGTTAAAGTCTTGCTTTTTTATATGGACCCTGAGCTTTTGATACATAATATACAAATATATATAATCATATAATACATATTATCTTTACTGTGCCATAATATCAACACAAATGTAATATTCATATATAACAGTATTACCATATAATGTGCCGAAGATGTTAATAATGTTAAAGAATAATGATAATACATATACATTATTTATTTTGTATGTATTGTCATAGAACCATTTCATGTACGTTTTCATCTGCCTCAGTTTCCCATTGAAATGTAAAATCATGTACAATTATAAAGTCACGTTTCAGGGGAAAGGTCCACACACGCACACACACACACTTAATGTAGTGTTTCCTGGAGTGGATGATTATTATGGATAATGAGTTGTTCAGGATAAAGTATACCTTTGTTCAAAAAAATTGCCTCTCATCATTGAAATTACCTTTTGAAATTAGACTGTAGCTCGGCTTCATTTACATTTAAATTGCCTCGGCTCATGTAACATCAGGTGTGTGGAGCTGGATGCTAAATGTTGCACGTTCCTGTCATTGCAGGTCCAACGTGTCACCTTCTCCAGGGATGGACGAGCTTAGACGTGGAACATGTCCTCTGCTGGTGTTCAGCATCTGTTTTGCGTCTGTTCTCGGCCGTCCCCCGATCTCATCGCCTCGCCTCACTCGCCTCCCGTTTTTTTCCGTGTGGAACGCGCCGACGGAGCGCTGCATGTCTCAATTTGGGGTCGAGCTGGACTTAAGCGTCTTTGACATCGTGCACAACCGCGACCAGGCCTTCATGGGCGACAACATCACTATTTTCTACTCTGATAAGTTGGGAGAGTATCCTTACTATGGCCATGGCAGTGAACCGGTGTATGGAGGTGTTCCTCAGAACTCCAGCCTGGACCAGCACCTTCGGAAGGCCGACGACGACTTGTGGATAGACATCCCAGATCGTGGCTTTCACGGGCTGGCCGTCGTCGACTGGGAAAAGTGGAGGCCGCTGTGGGAACGTAACTGGGACACTAAAGAAGTGTACTGGAAGGGGTCTAGGACTTTAGTGAAAGCCAAACATCCTAGCTGGAATCCGGAGCAGATAGAAACGGAAGCTGTGCGTGATTTCGAGGAAGCTTCACGGGCCTTCATGGAGGAGACTTTAAAGCTGGCCCACAAAGAGCGTCCTGGTGGATTATGGGGGTTTTATGGCTTCCCTGGCTGCTATAATTATCAGTACAAGAAGAACGGGACGTACACAGGTGAGTGTCCTGCTCAGGAGATCAAGAGGAATGATAAACTGGCCTGGCTGTGGAACG